GTAAAGAGATGGTTCAGAGGTTAAGACATTAGCTGCACTTCCAGAGGTCCTGAGTTCAATTCCCAGCAACCACATGATGTCTAATGAGATCTGGTGCCCTCTTCTGGCCTGCAGGAATATATATGCAGGCAGAACACTGTATACATAATAAATAAATAGATCTTTAAAAAAAAAAAAAAACTCAAGATGAGGGGATGGAGAGATGACTCAGCAGTTTAGAGTACTGGCTGCTCTTCCCAAAGGACCCAGCAGTTTTCAGTACCCACATGGCAGCTCACAAATATCTGTAACTTCAATTCTGCAGAAATTTTCATGTCCTTTACTGGCCAAGGATACTACACACAGGTGATACATAATGAAGACTCAGAATGAAAACACATGCTTGTCTAACTACAATGAAAGAGGGGAATGGTGTCACACACCTTTGATCCCAGCACTCTTAGGCAGAGGCAGAAGGACCTCTGTGAGTTGAGGTCAACCTATACGTAGCAAGTTCCAGGCCAGTCAAAGCTTTACAGTAAAGACAAACGAACAACAACAAACTAACAATTAAAAAGAATAACTGAGAGATGGTTCAGCAGTTAAGAGCACCAATGGTTCTTCCAGAGGATCCTGGTTCAATTCCCAGAACCCACACTGCAGCTAACAACTGCCTGTAAGTACGGTTCCAGGGGATCCAATGTCCACTTGGGCCTCCATATGCACTGTGTATACGTGGTACACAAACATAGGTGCAAAGAAGTAAAAAATTAAAAAGCATGCAATGTTAAACACAAAGACTAGCTGGGTGGTGGTGGGGAACGCCTTCAATCTCAGCACTCGGGAGACAGAGCAGGAGGATCTCTGAGTTCTAGGCCAACCTGTTCTACAAAGCAAGTTCCAGGCCAGCCAGAACTGTCACACAGAGAAAAAGGAGGAGGAGGAGGAGGAGAAGGAGGAGGAGGAGGAGAAGAAGAAGAGACCTGTAATCTCAACTACTTAATAGGCTAACGCAGGAGAATTCTGAGTTCAAGGCCAGAATAGACAATTCAGGGAAACTGTCTCAAATAAAGAAGAGCTGGATGTGGGTTTGTAAGTCAGGATCATGACACTGGATGAAGAACTCTTTTGTTGGGTTTTGTTTTTATTTTAGTTTTGGGGGGTGTAGCCTTGGCTACAAGATTTAGTTCCAGGTCAGGCTCCAAAGCTACAGAGAAACCCTGTCTCAAAAAACAAACAAACAAAAAAAAATAGTTTATAAATGCTGTGGGGTAATGCACTGTAAAGATATGTCACACATATTGGCTTAATAAATCACTGATTGGCCAGTAGTCAGGAAAGATGTATATATAGGTGGAGTGACCAGACTAGGAGAATTCTGGGAAGAGAATTGGCAGAGATGCAGTCACCAGCCAGACACAGAGGAAGCAAGATGAGAATGCCTTACTGAGAAAAGGTAAACACAGACAAGAATTATGGGTTAAGTGGTAAGAGCTAGTTAATAATAACCCTGAGCTAATAGGCCAAATAGTTTATAATTAATAAAAGCCTCTTTGTGTTTATTTGGGACTGAATGGCTATAGGTGAGACAAAAACTTCCATCTACATATAAATAATAAGGTAAAGTCTTTAAGGAGAAAATAAAATAATATAAAAAGGATAGGCCTCATAAAGATGGGAAATACTCAGGGACTCTGGATCCTGTATGGTGCTGTATTGACATTAAATATTTTGATTGCTGATGAGCAAACAGCAGCTGCTGAGAGAGATTGATTATGGACACTGCTAAATTAAACTAACCTACATATTTTTAAATGTCATAACTTCAAAATGGAAGTTAAAAAATATGTTGCCTTCGGAAAGAGGTTATATTTTTTTTAAATATTTATTTATTATGTATACAATATTCTGTCTGCATGCATGCCCGACGGCCAGAAGAGGGCGCCAGACCTCCTCACAGATGGTTGTGAGCCAGCATGTGGTTGCCGGGAATTGAACTCAGGACCTTTGGAAGAGCAGGCAATGCTCTTAACCACTGAGCCATCTCTCCAGCCCAAGAGGTTATATTTTTATTTCCACAGAAATGAAAGGCTATGGATTCATTCAAGGTTGCTAAGAGATCAGATTTGATCAGGGGAGACCTGAAAATTCTGACATAAAGAAATAAACCTAGAAAAACTACAAGACAGGTGACATACATTTTACCTGCTCAAATATAAAACAAAAAACCATCTTTGGTTGGCTTGTGTACAACACACAGTCCATACTTGTGTTAAAGCAGATATATATATTATCTTTGAAAGTTTATGTGTTTTCAGAGCAAGGGGACCACACGCCAATGAAAATTGGTGGCCAAGAGAATTCTGGGAAGAAGGAAGTCCTGGTGGGAGTCCTTTACCCAGCCGCAGTGGAAGCAAGATGTGACTGCCTGGCTGAAAAGGGTACCAAGCCATGTGGCTAACATATACTAGAATAATGGGCTAGTATAAGTTATAAGAGTTAATAAGAAGCCTGAGCTAATGGGCTGATCAGTGTATAACTAGAGAAAGAAAGAAAGAAAGAAAGAAAGAAAGAAAGAAAGAAAGAAAGAAAGAAAGAAAGAAAGAAAGAAAGAAAGAGAGAAAAGAAAATTGGTGGCCGAAATGATCCAGCTGCTCAGAGTGCTTCTGTTGCAGTTTCCTCAGACCTCTGCATCCAGAACATCTTCAAGGCTGCTGGCTGAGATGGTCCAACTTCACAAACTATTCTATCAGGCTTCAACCATTATCCTAATTTGAATCTCCCCAAAGATTCCAACACTCCCAGACAACAAGAAGCAGTCTACAGAATACAACACCCATATTCCCAAGAGATGGGATGGATAGTTTTTGGTCAATTGGTGAGTTATGGATGTCTGGCATTGTTTAGGGGGATTGGCTACAAATTGTTAGTGACCATGGTCAAAAAAAAAAAAAACCTGAATAAAGATAAAATTCAGGTATTTCTTTCTGAAGATAAAAAGTGGGGATATGATATAAACATGATGGGATAAAAGAATAGATTGTTGATTCTCCAACAACCACTAGTCTCATATATTTTACATTGGTATAGATTTTTGTATACTGATACAAATTCAAGGTTATTTTTGCTATACTGTATATATGTCTCTATTCTTGCTTAAGGTATTATACCTATGCAACTCATTTTAAAAGGTAATGTAAGCTGGACAGTGGTGGCATACCCAGCACTCCAGGAGGCAGAGGCAGGTGGGTCTCTGCGAGTTCAAGGCCAGCCTGGTGTGCAAGAGCTAGTTCCAGGACAGAATCCGAAGCTACAGAGAAACCCTGCCTCAAAAAACAAAAACAAAAAAGGTAATGTAAAATTTTAGTGCTTAAAAGCTATTTAGGATAATAAAGAAATATAGATTAGTAGTCATCTTTAACAATCATATAGTCAAGATAGATATGTTCTCAAGGCCATACAGAGATATGTGTTAGATAAGTGATCTTCAAACATTTCAAAGACTTACAGATATGGCATTTATAATGTTTTAATAACATAAAGCTTTTCATGATGGTGATACACATCAGCTACTGGCAACCCCGATTTACTTCAAAAAAAAAAAAATGCTGATGGGCATTGAGAAACCTCCATAAAGAGTTTGCTTTCTTTGTTGAGGGACTGCCCTTGCCTCCACTGCTGCCAATACACTGTCCAAACTGGACCAGCAGAACACAAAAGAAAAGATTGCCAAACTTTGCCAAGACAGGGTACATCAGTCCTTGAAAGATCACCTGCTTTACAGAAAAGTCTGTTGAATAGTCTAGGCCTGCAGGATGAAAATGGATGCCCCAACATTCCAGGGCAGTCAGGGCTAAACAGAGAAACCCTGTCTCGAAAAACAAAACAATATGCTGGGCGATGGTGGCGCACGCCTTTAATCCCAGCACTCGGGAGGCAGAGGCAGGCGGATCTCTGTGAGTTCGAGACCAGCCTGGTCTACAGAGCTAGTTCCAGGACAGGTTCCAAAGCCACAGAGAAACCCTGTCTCGAAAAACCAAAAAATAAATAAATAAATAAATAAATAAATAAATAAATAAATAAATAAATAAAAATAAAAATAAATCTTAAATGTGTTTTCTCGAAGGTGCTTGAAGAAACAACATATCTGATTGCCCTCACATCAAACCAAGAAGTACGTAAGGCAGGTAAATTCTTTGTTTCCATACAAGGGCATCCCAACACTATCCCTTCACATTGTTTATGTTCAACCCTTAAAAATCCCAAGTATAGCAAAACTCGCACCAGTTGAGCAACCCTTGCCAAGGTAAACATAAATCTCAGAGTTCTCACCTCTAAAACATGAACAAGGTTGTTAGGAAAATTAAAAATCAGATCCTATACCGTGCAACACAACGGCAGAAACATAGCGGAAGGTAAGGGGTGCCACTGCTGCTATCATTAATAAGCGAGCAGCTAGCGTCACGGGACCTTCGGTACAACACTTTGAATAATCGCACTGACAAGACCCCAAACAGATCCACCACCTTGAACATTCCCGGTTCCCACAAACCTGGCTCCCCTTTCACCCTCGGTTATGAAGGCCTTCCTCCTGCACCGGAGTGGTCAGCAATCCCTCTCTAGGCCTGGCCATGCCCTGACGTCAGCCAAGGACCCGCGCCGGTTACCTGGCCGCTCGCAGCTCCGCCACTCGCACACCCGACTCCACTCCGCCTCGCAATATATCCCGCACGGTGAAGACACGATTAGTTTAAACTATGGTCCCGCCCCCTCTCGTCGCCCTCTCATTGGCCCGGGTCGGCTGCTGTTAGCCGGGCACCCTGAAGGACCCGGGAAAAGGAAGAGCGAGGGCCACAATAAAGGAAGAAACAGTAATACTACTTCCGGATCCCGGTCTTGCCTTGACGGTAACAAGAACTACAAGTCCCAGCAATCCCCGCGGCTTCGGCGTCCTGCCCCCGACTGAACTACAAGTCCCAGAAGGCACTACGAACACGTTCACTGCGCTAATCTGGGGCGTGGTGACGAAGATAGTTACCATGGAGTTGCGCTGAGTAACCAGCAGGCAGTGGGACGCTGAGACCGGAGGGTAAGAAACTGCGGGTGAGTTGGGCGGGAAAACAGGAAACCCTTTCTAGGACACTAGAGATCTCTGAAAGGGAAAGGATTCCACAAAAGGAGTAAGAACATTTGCAATCGGGGACCTGAGATTCTCCCCAAACACTCATCTCTGTTCACGGTGAATACAACAACCCTTGAGATAAACTGGGGGACCATGGATATCATACCCATACGTATTTTGGCTCCTCAATACCAGCATGGCGCTTCCCTAGTATTAATGCCTCAAATCCCAGACACAGGGAAATCAGAAACTCCCTCGGGCATGGTGTTGGTTTTCCTCTAGAGAACCAGGATTTGTTTAACATCTGAGTAATTCACGGCCCTTAATTCTGGAAATGTAGAAAATATCACAGGAATAAGCAGGTTTCTCCCATCCACGTGCATATGAGTGTTGCCTTTTCCTCCTACATTCCTGCCTGGTGGGCCTCTCAAAGATACAGTTTACATCTTCATTTCTTCTACATTCCTCATGTCAGATTTAGTAACTTCTCACATTCTTTTACACTCTTTTTTCATTAAAACAACTCTATGAGTCAAGGATATTTATCGCCATTCCACAGATTGAAAAACTGAAACCCAGAGATAAGTGACTTGCCCAAGATCACACAACACCAATTTCAAAGCTAGAAGTAGATTTCCGCTTCTGTAAGGCCAAACTATCTCTCTGTAGCCTGGCTGGCTACATCTACAGCAGCTTTTATTGTCCCAAGGATTATGTTAAACTGCCTGAGGGAAAAAGAACATGTATGACCATCTTGAGTTATTTACACTTCAACATGAATGAGTTTCAGATCCAGCCTTGAAATTATTAATGAAGAAAGGAAACTAGAGACTGAAGGCAATGGGAGTCAAATGCGTTTAAATTAAGCAGGAAACAGCTGCCAGGACGCCTGAGGTCTCTGGGTTTGCTCTTCTGTTGCCCCACCTCACTACACCCACACCTTTATTGCCATCTGCACCCCCAGCCAAGCCTTCATCTTTAAATGCCCCATCTGGGGAAGCACTTGTGGCCCCAGCAACTCTTTCAGGATAGATATGAGGCATGTCAAATTCACTGTTTCTCAATGCACTCCAGCCCTCTCTTCCAAACCTGGGATTCATCCAGTAATCCCACAATATTCACAACCCCCCAAGTGTTATCCTTACTAACACTTCCATTTATAATATGGTCCACTTAATACCTAAGTGCCTTTTTCTTATTGTTTGAGAATTTTATACATGCATACAATGTGTTTTGATAAAATCTACTCTCCTTCATTCCCTCACCTCCAAATCATCCCTTAGGCCCCTAAATGTTTTTTTTTGTTGTTGTTATTTTTTATTTTTGTTTTTGTTTTTTTGAGACAAACTCATATAATTCCCCCTGCAACTCCCTCCCTAAATACTGGGATTAAAGGTGTACACCACCACATCTAGCTAAATGTCTTTTTTTAATGGGTGTGGGTTTTTTTTTTTTTTTTTTTTTTGAGAAAGAGTTTCTCTGTGTAGCCTTGGCTATACTGGACCTTCTTTTGTAGACCAGGCTGGCCTCAAACTCACAGAGCTAACAAACACCCGCCTGTGCCTCCTGAGTGCTGGGATTACAGACAGCAGCACCACCGCCCGGCTGAAAGACTTATTATTTTATATGTGCTACATAAGTAGTAACTTTGTTATTATTTATGTGACATGACACATGTGTACAAGAGCCCTCTGAGCTGGGCAGTGGTAGCACACACCTTTGATCTCAGCACCTGGGAGGCAGAGGCAGGTGGATCTCAAGTGAGTTTGAGGTCAGTCTGGTCTACAAAGCGAGTTCCGGGACAGCCAGGACTGTTGCACAGAGAAGTCAGAGGAGAGCATCCGGTCCCCTGATCTGCAGCTTCCAGTGTGGTGCTGGGAAGCAAACCCAGGCCCTCTCCAGGAGCAGCACATGGTCTTCGGAGCTATCTCTCCAGCCCCACTGTTGGTTTTTCTTCTAAAGACTTGATCTTCCTTTGCCATCCAAGTTGTCCTCAAATGTGTGATCATCCTGCCTCGGCCTCCTAAGTGTACATGTTTGTTCAGCCCTACCTACCATCCTCCCTTTCCTGCATTCCCTTCTAGATACTTTGTATACTTCAACAAAAATAATTTTTAGATGAAAATCTGATATTGTTCACTCTCCTTAGCCCCAATTCTATATACATCCTGTGGCTTCCTGCTGTTGTTAGAATAAAGGAGCATCTCAGGTGGCTCTGCCCACCTCTCTAGCCTGTACGCTGTAACCATAATACTCCTGTTTTCCATTCTAGTTCATATCACTTTAAGGTCTTCCAAATTTCTGAGCACACACTAGAACATGTCACCATGGAGACTTGGCCTTTGTCCACAGCTGTAATGCATGTCTTTTTTTTTCTTGTAGAAAGTAGGTTGTGAAAGTCAACCCAGCACCTAATACATACTAAGTACTTTTTGTCCCTCAGCTATACCTAAGCCCCTGGAATGCCCATCTTTTCCTCCTGTACTTATCCTTCAGAGGTCTCCCAGTCACTTGAGAAATAACCAGGTTAGGTCCCTCAGTTATAATGCTCCTGTCCTTCTGTGTCATTTATCTGGTTGTAGCAGTCAGGTGTGAGTAGACGAGGACATCCAACCATGAGAAGAACACGTTGCCTGCCCTGCTGGAGTCTGGTCAGGCAGACAGAGAGCAGATAATGAGAGCGAGCGCTTTGGGTGCTGCCATGGCAGTAAGTATAGGGGATGGCGAGCACAGAGCGGGGAGACTCCTCATCCAGATTTGGAGATAAGGAAATTTTCCTCAGAAAAGTTCAAGCTGGAGTTGGCTCCTGAAGCAAGAGTAACAAAGGGAATGTTGAAAGAAATACATTCCAAGCAGATCATTCTGGAAAGGGAAACTTTCCATCGGAGCGGCTCGTGGGCATGCAGGGACCTTACTGTGAGCTACTGGATTTGGCCGGAATGCAGAATATGGTGAGGATGAGATGGAGTCAGCAGACAGGAGTCAAACATCCTTGGGCTTTCCTCTGGCACTTGGGAATTCCAGAACATATTGGCTGCACAGCCAATTTTTATGGCATCCTTTGATTTCTTCCCTCCACCTGCAGTCCAGACACAGAAACCTGCTTTAAGCTAGGCTGTCAGTCTCCCATCCGCTTCCTGACCTGATACTACAACTTACGTCACAACATGCTGGAGAAAGGGCAGGAATTGGCTAGCAATAAAACAGATTAAAATTCTTAGTAATTCTCCAAACTGGAATTTTTTGTCAACCTGGAATTGGTTAAGTAAAGTTAAAAATACCATGTATAGCCATGCAGTGGTGGTGCACACCTTTAATCCCAGCACTCAGGAGGCAGAGGCAGGTGGATCTCTGTGAATTCAAGGCCAACCTGGTCTACAAGAGCTAGTTCCAGGACAGGCTCCAAAAAACAACAAAAACAAAAAATAAATAAATAAATAAATAAATAGAAAGAAAGAAAGAGAAAAAAGAAAACAAAAACAGCAGCTGACTCCAGAGAGCAGCAGGCACCATCTGGGCTAGAAGGCAGGCCTTGTTTGTGACACAGTTAAGTCATCATGTATTCCTTAATTACTCCATGTATCCATCAAACCAGTACCTAGTTTTTGTCAAGTTCAGTATAGAGTATTTATCAAAACAGAAGTCTACCTTCTTGTCCCTGTCCTCAAGTTTACAGGGAGAAAATGGAAATTAAATAAATAATAAAGAAATTAGTATAGAGGACTGAAGGTCTAACTCAGTTCCTAGAGTATTTGCCTCGGCTTGTAACACACGGTCCAGTACTGACAGTACAGCTTCTTCCCGCTATTGAGCATCTGCTGTTAGACCATACCATAGCTCTGCAGGTAGGGTTTGTCTTCATTTCACAAGTAGGAAAACATGATGATAAAGTTTTGTCCAAAGTGCAGCTGGGGAATGGGTCAGTTAGCTATTGCTGTGTATCAAACCATCCAAAATCACAGTGGCTTAAAACAAGCATTTATTCTTTCTTTGATGACTCTGAGTTACCTGATGGTTCTTATTTTGCCTGAGTTCATACATCTGCCTGCAGTCCCTTCCAGTCTTGATACTGGCTGACTGTAGACTTGTCTGTCTGGCCTCAGCTGAGGCAGACAGCAGGACAGCAAGTCTTCCTATAAAGTTTCTATTGGCTAGGCTGGAAACGTAGCTCAATGCTAGAGCACTTCTTTTTTTTTTTTTTTTTTTTTTTTTTGGTTTTTCGAGACAGGGTTTCTCTGTAGCTTTGGTGCCTGTCCCGAACTAGCTCCTCTAGACCAGGCTGGCCTCGAATGCTAGAGCACTTCTTGCCTAGCATATAAAAGACTCTTGAGTTTGTGCCCAAAACAAAACATTAAATCTTGGGGAGAGGAGGTGTTGTTGTTTGTTTGTTTGTTGTTGTTGTTTTTCGAGACGGTTTCTCTTTAGCTTTGGAGCCTGTCCTGAAACTAAGTCTGTAGATCAGGTTGGTCTCGAACTCACCGAGATCCACTGCCTCTGCCTCCCGAGTGCTGGGATTAAAGGCATGTGCCACCACCGCCTGGCTGTTTTCATTTTATCAGTATCTCACTGGCTGGTTCAAAAGCTGAGCTCAGCATCAGAGGGGTGGAACTATTAAGTTATCGTGCAAATGAGATAGATATAGGACAGACCATGAGTAGGAATCGATTCTTGCCAGCTTTAATACCTAAATTGATAAAAATAAACTTAAATGATCTGTTTTCTCTGGAAACAAAAGATTTTTACAAAGCCAGGTATGGTGGCACATGCCTGTACTTGGCACTTAGGAAGCAGAGGCAGAGGGGATCAGGAATTCAAGTCATCCTTAGCTATATAGTGGGTTCCAGGCCAGCCAGGGCTATATGAGAACCTGCGTGTGTGTGTGCGTGCATAAAAGTTATATAATATTAAATATTTATACATGTATATTCATACATTCAAGACAGGGTTTCTCTGTGTAACACCTCTGGATGTCCTAGAGTTCGCTTTGTAGACCAAGCTGACCTCAAACTCAGGGATTAAAGGCATGTGCCATCACTGCCTGGCGTATATAATTTTTTAAAAACTGTATATAAGAAGGTTGGAGGGATAGGGCTGGAGAGATGGCTCAGCAGTTAAAGCACTGAGCACTGTCTGCTCTTGCACAGGACCCAGGTTCAGTTTTCAGCACCCATGAAGCTCACATCCATCTTAAACTCCAGTTGCAGAGCATCTGGCAATCTCCTGACCTCCACAGGCACCAGACACCAGGTGCATTTATAGTGTGCTTACATACATACAGACAAAACACTCATACACAGAAAATAAATCTAAAAATATATTTTAAATTTTAAAAGGTACTTTAGGGACTGGGGAGATGGTTTGGTTGGTGAGGTGCTTGCCCTGCAAGCCTGAGGACCTAGCTCATCAGACAGCGTGCCCACGCAGACCCTCAGCACTGGGGCGCTCTGGCTACTCAGCTCAGCCTGCCTGGCAAGCTCTAGGCCATTAAGAGATCCTATCTCAAAAAAGTGGGTAGCAACTAAGAAAGGACATCCAAGATTGTCCTGGGCCTCCACTCACATGTACATGTCTGTATAGGCATGCACACCCATGCTTATAAACATACAAGAAAGAACACTTATAGCCACAGCACCAGCACCGACAAAGAGAGTCGTCATATTAGAGCTTCACTTCCAGTCTTAACTTTGGAAAATTCACTGGAAGCTGGTGCTACACAAGATCATCTCTGCTCTAAAGTTATAGCCACCAAAGAACAGTTAAAAAAAAATATTTGATATTTTAAAATACATGTTCATGTCGGGTGGTAGTGGCAGCGCACACCTTTAATCCCAGCACAGGAGGCAGAGGCAGGAGGATCTCTGTGAGCTTGGGGCCAGCCTGGTCTACAGAATGAGTTCCAGGACAGCTGAGATACACATAGAGAAATCTTGTATTGAAAACCAAAAAAAGGGGGCTAGAGAGATGTCTCAGAGGTTAAGAGCACTGACTGCTCTTCCGAAGGTCCTGAGTTGAATTCCCAGCAACCACATGGTGTCTCACAACCATCTGTTTTGTTTTTTCTGTTTTTTTGTTTGTTTGTTTGTTTTTGAGACAGGGTTTCTCCTTAGCTTTTTTGGTTCCCGTCCTGGAACTAGCTCTTGTAGACCAGGCTGGCCTCGAACTCACAGAGATCCGCCAGTCTCTGCCTCCTGAGTGCTAGAATTAAAGGTGTGCACCACCACCGCCCAGCTCACAACCATCTGTTAATGAGATCTGGTGCCCTCTTCTGGCCTGCAGGTATACATGCAGGCAGAACACTGTACACATAATAAATAAGAAAACATTTAAAAAAAAAAAAAAAAAAAAAAAAAAAAAAAAAACAAA